TTCTATTATTTTCATTCTCAGGCAAACTAAATGCCAATTCAGGTTTATTTTAATATACCACTGCCACTGACACTTTTTAACTGTCAATCTGTCAGAGGTGGTGGGAGAAGCCTGGGGCCACGATGCTGGCTGAATGCGGTTTGGCGCAAAAAGTCGAGTTCCATGGAATGCTGTTGGTGTTCTGTCGGTTCTCTGCTCTGCTTCTGAGAATCCTGCTTTGTTCATTACCTATGAGTTTATCAAGAAACATTGATGACCTATTAGAGTGTGGTCTCCATACTGTAATCTGAAGTATGTATACGATTTTGTGTATTTGCATTGAGATATATTTAGGTTTCATTGTGAATATTTTTAAAGTATACGCACTAAATTGCAAATACTCCATTAAGTCCGTAAACATCATTAAATACAAGATGCAAACATTTTGTGGAATGTCGAAAGGCAAAACGTTTTGCGGCGACTGTAACAAATGAAAAGATTCGCCATATGAAGACCTAGAAACATTGTGGTTCTTATGATCATTATTAAACTAATTGACAAAATAAATAAAATCAATTATGTCCTGTTGGATTGCAAAAAAAACGCAAGAAAAGGTCTTCTATGGCGTTTTCAAATAAATAAATATATTGCAAACGAACTACGGTTTTAGATGCAATAAATTTGATTGAACTTACAGTTTATTTTCGTTAAATGTCAGTTTTTTACAGCATATCAGATCGCACAGTATTGGATGGTGCTTTTCTTACAAAAGTAACAAAGAACATTTAAGAGTGGAGTTTCCTTTTACTCGAGTTTTATTGCATGTGCACTCCTTCAAAAGCGTCGACCAAATGTCGCTGTTGTTGACAATGGAAAATAGTTGTTAAATGGGGAAAAGAACAAGACAAGAATAAGAAAATCTACATACGCATGTGTGAAGTATTCAGCCTTTTGTTTCTATTGGTGGAACTTTATCTGCAATTTCTGAAAACCACAACAAGTACATTTTTATTACTTTTGGAGGTTCTTAGGATTTTTCAATTAAATGAGCAATGCGAAAAATAAGATGGGATATCAAAGAAATAACTCATTCGCTTTATTTTCCCCTATTCCCATTCTTATTTCAGAGGCAACGCCCTTGAATGAAAGGGCACTGGTTATAGTTCATTTCTAAGTTTTCCCATTAATCGATCTGATGTTTGTCTACTTATTCTCTGAGTCTGTGGAAATAATTTCTTTCTTTTAATGGCGAAAAGGATACACTTGACTGAAAAGCAGCCGGAGGACGAGCTACAATTCCATTTGAATTTAAACGATTATAATAATCTCATGCAGAACTTTTTAGTGCAATCTAGTGATCGACTTGTTTTTACAACACTTTTGCAATAAATCAATTAAAAGTTTTTTTTCCTTTGCCTGGTGGCATGGAAATCCATGATGCATGACAATTATAGTGGCATGCCCCAACAACCTCAACTATTCACTAATTAGAAACTGGACAATATTTTGGTGGCGCATTCCCCTAAGGTCTGAAACTTTTTAAACGCAGCTGACAGGCTGATTTTTGGCCAACAGAAATAATTGGAATAATTAATTCAATAAAATCCATTGCTCACTTTTAAATTAGTGAAATGCGATTTGTACCTTTTGAGGTACGTTATTCCATTTATAGTGGCAATTAAAATGCAGTTAATTCAATTAAAATAAAACCGAATTTCAATCGGAAGTGCAATCGGATAACTACAAAAAGTACCAGAGTGAAAAGCGTTGGAATTAAATATCCAATACGCCCACAAGAACATTTTCAACTAAAGCATCTTGTTGACTTGCCAGATGGAAGTGGCTGGGCTGCCTCTTCAGCTGCCGTCCGACGAAAAGGACACTTTGGCTGGTTCCCAGGCGAATGCTAATTAATAAACTTTACTTTTGTCTCCGAGTTGAGCAGGATTCCCAACTGGCGCTGATAGGCTGCCGTTCTCTTGCACGAGTGGCGCCTCAATTAATGAAATCTATGCAAATTGGCTTAATTTCAATTGTGCAAGTCGACTCAATACTAGTTTCGGCTCCACTGACGTCAACTGAAACTCTACCAGAATAAGCCGCACGGACGATGATGGCGCTAAATCCCAAACAAATTAGCCCGGACACGTTCCGCAGGGCAAAAAGCACACACATCCAAGGGCAACGCGATTAAGCTCTCGTTCTAGGAACATTTCTGTCGAATCCTTAAATTGGTGCGCTTTAAGGGCAATTGCTGGGGCCGAGGAACCGACTGGTAAGGGCAAACAAAAACATAGACAGACCTCAAGTCTGGGACTGAGTCTGGGACTGAGTCTGGGTCTCTGCTCAATGCCCAATGCTCAATGCTCCGTGTCCAAGGTCCGGGCTAAGACACTTTATTGTTTCGCTGGCTGCAATTGAGCCCAGTATTGCGAGCTATTTTTGGCCCTCGACTTGTGGCCTGGACTCCGACTGAGCTGCAGCTAATCTCGAGTTGTCTGCTTTTCGGGGATTTCGACTTTTGTTTTGTTTCCCCGCCCACCGTCACCCGCACCCGCACCGGCAGCCGCAGCCGCAGGCGGGTGCCGCCGGTTCTGGAAGCCCTTTCCTCAAGTGCGTCGAGTACATCCACATCGAGGCCATAAAGCAAGCACTTTTCGTTTGTTGAACTGTGACCGGGTGGGGTCGGAGGGCAGGACACCCGTCTAATTTGTTGTCAAATGCTGGCTGCCAGTGCCAGCTGTTGGCTGCTGCTCGGATTTCAACATTCCGCTTTTCATTTTAATTTGCAGTATTGTTCTGTGGCCAGGACCAGGGCCAGGACCAGGGCCAGGACCAGGGCTAGGGCCAGAGGCTGTGAGCCTTTCAATGTTTACCATTTTTATTGCGCACTTTCCACATCAAGGATACCGCATTTTCCCTTTTGGCATGCAATTAATATTTAATTAAATCGCCTGATTCGAAAATGTCAATGCGTGTTTCCGAAATTCCTGGAGAGCCACACTTATCCCACCAAAATCTGGCTAAGCCGAAACCAGAACTCCCACAAATCAAAAATAATATTTATTCGGCATCGCCAGAAGGAGAGCAAGAGCCACAGCAAGAGTTGACCTCGTGACAACAACAATGACAACAAAAGAATCAATTGGGTTCAGCAAAATATTTTTCCAAGGGCCAGGACTAGGTCCTTGCGCTATATATAGATGCACGTACATATATGTACAGCCTGTAGTCCTGTTTGCACAGCTTTACTTGAGGACTCGACCAACCGCATCGGGCCGGAGAAATCTGTTGATTTCTTGTTCGACCGCAGTGTGCATTTTTAATTGAAGGCTAGTTGAGACGTTTTGGCCAGATTCTAATTTGCTCGCCTACGGCATAAGTTGATCCGTTTGGCATTGATAACAATGGGTTGGAGGTAAGAGGTAAGAGGGGACTCTGGAGGGCCCTTGTGCTTACACGCTGATGGGCACCATGGGAGCTGGGGGAACTTTGTCCAGCTCTTTGCTGGCTCGTTAGGGGCAGACAAGGACCCGTGCAGAATGACCGGGCGGCATGCGGCATGCGGCATGCATGTGAGGGTGCTTGGCTTTAAAATCTGGACATGGACATGACCGGCTTATAGACAGTCTGCCTGCCACTCTGAGTCACGGTTATTTGCTGTTCCCTCTGACAGAACAACAAATGAATCTGCTGCTTTGGAAAGTGAAAGTTTGTCGCTCATAAACTGGAAGAGTAATCTGAAATGTCTGTGCGTAATGACCGGGACAATATGCGGACTGTTGAGGTCTCCGGCTCCAGCAGCTTATTAAAGCCCTGTTTGAAGGGTGAAAAAAATGCGAATCAGAGAACTCTTCGTCTTCGTCTCTGACAGGGAGCTTTGTGCGAGGAGCTGTTGGCCGTTAAACTGCTTGTCTAGACCGTGAGTAAATTTATGGCTCTGATTAATATCTTTATTGTGTCAGATTATGATTGACTAGGCGGCAGGCCACAAAATTTATTGATGAAAGACCCGCTCTTGTCCATTTTGGGAAGTTACTTTTGCTCCTTTCAAAAGCCCTGCACTCCACAATGATGGACGAGGATGGCGGTCCATTGTATTTTATTGGCAGCACATCACCAGGCTCCTTCCCCGGCAACAGGGCGTATGAAAATCTATTCAAAGAAGCTAATTTGTATTCGATGGGTAAGTATGCATAAAGTCACACATTAACAGATCTGTCGTTTGCCTGTCCATGATCAAATTTCCCAATCATTTTTTCGTGAATCTGGATCCACAGCTTTTGAAAAATCATTAATAATAATGCCCAAAGAGTAGAAGCCATAATTCCCGTTTATTTAAGATTGAACTTGATTTATTTACTGATTCTAGCCCAATACGCCCGGATTACAAGCCCTTTCCTGGCACTGTACTGCACTCACATCCATTTCAATTTTAATACAGAGCTTCCCCGAAAGCCCCCTTGAGTAATGGGTCTCTCTCGGCCACTTGGCCAAGTGCAGACTGAAATGGCTTAGCTGGCAGATGCAGATGCATGGGGAGGATGCCTTTAGAAGTCGCTGGCAAAATGCCTGCCAATTCCCAGGAACAATGGCGGGGCAAGGCGGGGACAGAGTGCCTGGAATTCCTGTTCGAGTAGCGCGAGCAAAGGTGAGAAGCTCTTACTTACACGCACCAGGCGTTTGGTTCAGGGGTATACACTTTCTTGTAGATTTATGCAAGGGGCGCTCCGCAGGCTGACAACTCGTTTCCTACAAAATTTAGTAGAGGGTCAAAGGGGGTTTCTTGAAGTGATTGAATATTTGAAGATGCTGGTTGAAGTCCAAGTCGAACTGGTAGCGGGTATCCCTTAGTCGCTGCTCTTAGCGCTCCACAATAGCGTTCTTCCTTGTTCTTTCGTGTCTCGAGAGGATGAACTCAAGATGCAGATGAGCTGAATGTTTTTGGCACGCATTGTGCAAAGAAGTGCAAAGAAGAGGGTTTTGCTGTAACGTTGGCAACACTTTCTTTATTTATTTTTTATTCGTTTTATTTACTCGTAGCTCAGCACTTAACACTTAACACTTAATTTATGACTGCACTACTCTAGGATGCGGTAGATGCGGCGACGACGGGCTATGAGGCTCTGTCTGTGGCGGGGGCAAGAAAGTTTGTCACGTCACTTCGATGCCTCATTAACTGGGCTTATGCCCAACATAAATCGTCTGGCCCACTCGAAGCCGCCATCGCCACCGCAGGCGTCGCCATCTTCTCCATCGTCGTCGTAGATTTTATTTTTATGGCCAATTGGCAAAATGAAATTTGCATGCAAATCGCCAAAGCCAAAGCCCACGATTCGAGCCCTTTTCCAGCCGGACAAAGTTTTTCACAAGCGGCTCGACTCGTCCACAGATCAGAAAGTTTATTGTGCTAACTAAACAATGCCTAACTAAGCATAGCCACGGCTATCTCTGCCTGCGCCCTTCACTGGGAGGAGTGCGCGTCGTCCCGCTTCTGTCTCCGCTTTCGCCAGGGAAACTTGCGCGACTCGCGCGGCGTTCCGGCCTGGAGGGTCTCTGGGTCGGGGAGGCTGTGGCTGTGGCTGTGGTTGCCACTGTAGGGAGCGGTGGCAGCCGTGGCCGCTGCTACAGCTTCGTCGCGACGGCTTATGACCCGCGATAGCTTGAGGCGTGTGGCCGGCTGGCTGTTCTCTGGCTGCTCCGAGGGCGAGGGCGTCACGAGCATCGCCCCGCTCTTGGTAGCCATTAAAGCGCGCTTTGCCCGCACGGAGGAGTAGTGCCGACCCACATCCACCACCTCGGTCTCTAGCAGGGAGTTGGCGTCGCCCAGCGAGGACAGCTGAGAGACCTGGGCCGCCAGCATGCGGTGGGGCACAGCACTGCCTGTGCCGGCGCCGTAGAAGTCCTGCTTGCGGATGCGTCTGCCAGGTCCGTTGGTGGTGCTGGTGCCGCCGCCGCCGCCGCCGCCTCCGCCCATGCTGCTGCTGTTAATCGTCGTTGTCGTTGTGGTGGTCCGAATGCTGTCCTGCAGCGACAGCTGGTGGCTGGCGTCCCGGCATCGGAACTGCACCACTCGGTAGGAGCCGTACGGCTCCAGGGCGTTGTTGTTGCAGCTGGCCGGCTGCAGCCGCATCGATCCGTTCTGCCTCAGCAGAGCACTGTAGTTGTGTTGGTGGTGCTGGCTCTGCTGGTTGTGATGGTTCCTGGCCAGGGCAAACTGGCGCGTCAGCGTGATCTGCGGATTGGCGGGAAACCGGTCGCATTTCAGGGCCAATTAAGGGAGCGGCGGACCGCGGCACTTACCTTGAAAGCCTCCCGAAACTTGTGGCTCATGATGTTGTACAGCAGCGGATTAATGCAGGTGGACAGAAAATAGAGCACTCCGGATGTGTAATCAAGTATGCGGAAGTAATCGTTAAAGGCATCCCGGTTGATCCCAATGTTAATCAGCGACAGGCCGTACACGGCCATCAGACGCTGTGCGTGGAAGGGAGCCCAGCAGAGGAAGAAGGCGACGGCTACAGCTACTGCAAATAGGGGCAAGGACAAAGAACATATTAAATACTCTTTCATGGCCAAGTAGTCTACTATACAGTGCCCTTCTCTGAACAGTGTCCTCCCAGCGACTGCTGGAAATGTTAGGGAAACAAAAGGCACAACAAGGACTGTATCCCTGTATCCCAGGTAATCCCATCGTTCGGGCAATCATTCAAAAAATGTTTATGTACATGGACTACCTAGAGGTTGAGGTTGGTTTTGGGATGAACTTGTCCTGCCAGGACACTTGGTAAAATGACACTAATTACCAGAACCATAGACAAGCTCGTGGCTTCAATCACATTCCCAACATGAGGGGCTAATAGGAGCTTACTCGGAGGCCTTCAAGGCCTGCCCCAAACTGTGACCGAAATTGTACAAGCCCTGGGCGAGCTCCAAGGAAAAGTAATTCAATTAATTTGTTTCAACATAATTGAATTAAAAGAAAGCCTTTATCTTGTTGAATTTCTTCACGTTTATCGATCGATTGTACCTGGACCCCAATTCGACTAAATTGTTTTAAATTGCTTTAAATATAATACATATACAATTAAGGAAAGGTTGGCTTTTCAAGTCTACAAATCAGGGATTCGAAAGACTTAAAATGATTTGTACATCGTTAGCCGGAACGCAAATTGTTAATATAAATTTCTCTAGATTTAGGTACATTTACCCAAAAAGTCGTTTTTTTACGGATCCAATTTAATCAAAATATCAAACACTTTAAAATAAATAAATATATCAATTTTGTAGGAAATATACCCATTTAATATCAATATGAAAATATTTATTTATTTATACTTTTTTTATATTTTTTCCACGGTGCAATATAATGCAAACATTTAAATTCAACTATTCGGTGTTCAAGGCCATTTTTTCTATGGCTGTAAGTAGTATGTATTTTTTTTGCTTAGATATTTTTCTTTGAACTTTGGACATTTTCACGATGGCACTTCAAAAAATACATGTATGTACATTTCTAATAAAATGAACCACAGAATGGTTTCTGTCGAGGTGCGTACGTCTCATTTAGTGAGTACGAGTATTTACCCCGTGAATGATTTGGCAAATGCGTAGCCTGGGCCCCAGAGAGATTAATTGCCACGCTTCACGACCCTCACGACTCCCTTGATGTGTCCCCAGCTGATTACTTTGAGATGCCACCTGCCTCAGAGCTGTGCACAGTCAGCTGATAGCTGTTTAATGGCTTTGAAGACGCACTTGATGCATCCGAAAAATTAACGACACCGCAAAGTTCTCCCATCCCACCACCCACCAGCAATGGGGCACATTCAACTCGCACGACTCGCACGAGTACAGGCCATGTGCTAAATGAAAAGTGATGTGCAAGAGAGTGGGACATGGGGCAGGAGTGGGGTATGACGAATCTCTTGTTTGATGTCGCCAACGCAAATATGTTGACAGTGAATTTCAATTTAAGACTTTCGGCAAAAAGTTTTGACAGGCGGTGGGTGGAACGCCCCAGCCTCAATCAAGCCCCCATCTCAACGCCTACCAACTCACCTACCCAACATTCTGATGACTCTGCCCTGAGCGTTAAGTCCACGGTTGGCGTCGTAGGCCCGTCTCGGAAGCGACTGCAGCAGGCGACTCCGCTTCAGCTTCACGCCGATGAGGACGTACAGCACGCAGATGGCCGTCATGGGTCCGCAGAAGAAGATGAAGCCGGACACGGCAAACACGTGGGCATAGAAGTCGTTCTCCATCTGAGGAAGGGAGATGTAAAGTCAGTTACGCCCGAAATGGTGTGAGCTTGAATGTGCTTCCACCCACCGTGCAGGAGTATCCGTTGTTCTGGAAGACCACGGAGAACTGCATGGCCTGGGGCAGGGCCAGCAGGAAGGCCGCCAGCCAAATGGCAAATATAAACTTAATGGCGCGAGACAGCTTCGACATGGTGTGCTGCCTGAAAATGATGGAGTGAATGTAAAGATTAGGATGCCACATTTTATGGCCAATATTAAAGTGAATTGAATGTAAATGTTTATGAAGGAATGAACTCAAAACCTCGAGACACTCAAAGGAAAGCAACTCCAGCCTGCTTGACCACCGACCTCTGGAACCGACTCCAGGAATTCCTTGACAACTTTTCATGTCCGTCAGCTTCCACAAAGCTCCCAAGTCACTGTACTCGTATTCATTTATGTGTGTACATTTTCAAAGTGACTCTTAGTTGAAGGCACATTTCCCCGAAATGACACTCAAAAAAGCTTCAAATTTCGTAGAAAATCGCAGATTTAATATTTCTGGTACGGACGTGGTCGCTATTTTCATGTTGGCGTTTCCAAAAAGACACCGTTGATACCGTGCTACTCTACGGAAAAGTACACACCAACAAATATTCTGAATCACTGATTGTGTCGATATTAGTTCATATTAATCAACGGAGCTGACATCCAGTGTAAGGCCTTTATTGTCCTTTCATAACTTGTCAGTTTGACAATAAATAATTATAATTATTATGCCTATCACTTTCATTAAACCTTATCGCATCGTATCCATGGCTTTCAATGGGGCCATATCTCGTATTAATCTCTTTGTGTTCTGTTCTATTTATACTTTATACACTTTGTTAATGAAATAAAGTTAATGAATGGTATTTGAATGATTAAGAGAATGTAATTGGCATCTGGCTATCATTGTAGGGGTCAAAACTTACCGAAACGGATGACAGATAGCGATGTATCGCTCCACGGTGAACGCGGTAATGGTGAGGACTGTGGCATTGGCAGCCATCTCTGAGAGCACGCTTTCCATAATGCACATGACGTCGGTGAACGGGTACATGTCCGGGTACCACAGGTTGTACAGCTCCTGAGGAATGCCTGGGTGAAATTGCAGAATTTAACGTTACGTATACGCAGAGTGTGCCGCGGTTGAGCTCGCTCACCTGAGACCAGCAGAATCAGGTCGGACACCGCCAGGTTGAACAAGTAAAAGTTCGTGGCCGTGTGCATGAAGTTGTTGCGAGCGATCACGATGCAGGTGATCAGGTTGCCCAGCACCCCGGCCACGAATATGAGGGCGTAGCAGACGGTGAGCACGGTGAGCAGGGCCAGGGAGTCGTCGGCCGACGAGTCCGCGGCCACGGCACTGCCATTGGTGCCTTTGTCTGAACTGAGCAGATTCGAAAGATTCTCGGTCGTTATGTTGAGCAGATGGGCGACATGTGTTAGGAATTTGTCATTCTGCAGCATGGAGGACGGGCCCTGATTGGGGGCAAGACTAGCGCCAGGCGACACATGAGCCATGAATGATTGATTGAGGCCATCATCGTTGCTGTCATGGGTGATGGCGCTGACGCCTTGCAACATGCTAGCAGTCCTCAATTAATTGCGGGTGCGGCAATTCCAGCTCCAACTCCAACGGGAGCCCCCGAAATCCGTCGTCTTGTGTCAATGCGTTATTAATGCTGTCTGGCGGCGGTGTTGTTTGCGCGTTCCCTGCTGCGGTGGCACATGGCTGATAAGCAGGCGACGACAGGGCCAAATTGTGCACTCGCCTGTGAAGCAAACAACATTAAAAGTCATTAGACTCAGGAATGAATTTAAATTGAATCGGCCCGACCCGGCTAACATAGCCCTGCGCGAAACGGCGCGGCGACAGGTGGCTGTCGGGCAGATGATAGTCTCCACTACACCACCCCCAACCACTCGACGACTACTGCCACTTTGCTCTATTAATACTTCGTAAGCATCTCCAGATAAATCTATACAGATCGCTGGCAATCAATACAATTGTGGGCCCCAAACTTTTTCCATTTGCTCGGACTGCGTCGACTACTCGGACTGAAGCGAAAACTGATTGCATGTGCGCCAAACTTTTCCAAATGGGAAACTTTTCGCACCCACACAAATGTCCCTTGGCCCATAATAGGTCCCGGCACATGCGACGATTTAAAGATGTCTGAGAAATGGCTATCGGGAGCCGAGCTAATATTTCACTCATTATGCCAGCGACACGTTTTGAATGGGGTTCTGCCTCTGAAATAGAAGCAGCCACGTAAGAGCCCCATTCCGAGGTCAGGAGTCAAATAAATGGAACATCATGTTGAAGCTAATACCAGGCTGGCTTATTGGCTTCGGCCCGCATTTTTGTGCTGGGTTCTTCCAATTAATTATGTTTTCACGTTGTTCAGCGGATGTACTTGCTTAAGATGGTTTTCTGTAGCACTTAAAGTGCCCTAAAAAGTATGCTACGCATGTGAATGGGAACAGGACTTCTTAAGAAGAGTAGGGCAGGGCCTCTTCCTCTTGTTGACGCTGACTAATTGGAAAAATAATTGAATTGCCAGCTCAGGTGTGAAAGTTTATTTAGATATAATTCGGCACTACAGAGCAAAACAGTAGAGCAGCAGGCACAACAAATATCGAATTGCCCCCCATCGAATTTATAGAAATAGCTGCGCCATCCAATCAGCCAACCAATCCCAAAGCGGACCATATTATTGGGTGCCAATTCCATTTTAGTTTTCGTGTTTCCCCTCCCAGAGTGAAGGCCGCAAACGAGCACGAGCAGGTGACAACGAGGAGCTTCAACATTTTTTAATTAAACTCTGCGGTATCCGAAAATATTGAGCAATTTTGAAAACGAGTTCCTCTCGATACTGGGGAATATATATTTGGGTGCAGGTCCTGAGTAAATTTCAATCAAGCCAGCTCTCGTATTCAGAGATGACGATGCTCACCTCAGGGCCAACAGCTGCGTTTGTATTCGTATTTGTTCAGGCTTTTCTTTTGTTAGAATTACATCCACAAGGTGTGTTGAAGTATTTGGGTGTTTCTTTCCGATATAATGGAGTCACTGAATGGAAAATTAGTTTTGCACTTTGTTGGGCAATCAGTGAGATCTATTCAAGCGTTTGTCAATCGCTTGGGTCTGATTGGCATATTTGTGAACTACAAAATGCACTTTTTATGTATTTAAAGGTTACACTTTTTACGAAGTTTTTTAATTATATTTATTCAAAAAACTTTTGTTTATTCAGCTATAGTTATTTATTTATATTGCGTTACATATCAATTCATCGATTCATTATTTTGGTATTTAATTGGGTTTTTTCTGTAGTATTGTTTTAATTAATGTTCTTTAATTAATTCATGTTTTCGCTTAAATTCGATTTTATTGTAATTTATTCATGTGCTTCATTGATCAATCACATTTCAGCGAAATTTCTGTTGATTGTGTTTTTATAACATGATAAGTATATTCATTTATTTTGTTCGATTTTGTTTTTATTCTTTGATTTGTACATGTGTCTATAATTGAAGTCCTTTTAATATGTTCAACACTTTTTCCAGTTTTCGCTGATTTAATGACTTATTTTTTTTAATTCTTTATTTATATGTACATATGTACATACTTGTTTGAATATATTTAATTGTAATTACATTTTATTTTACTTATTTAAAGGTATTTTCAAATTTCACCCCTCCTGTAGATTCAATACCAAGGCGTTGCTCCACTTTTCTTAAGCAGAAAGGTCATCCTACAAAATATTAAAGTAGTTTTATTAAAAATACTAGGAATACTGGGCAAATTTTAACTTTTTTAACCATTTTTTTTGAGGTGGCTTAAGTATATGAGCAGGATATTTTGGAGATGATTTCAGATTTTTAATTATTTCGCTGACTATATATTTTCATAACTTGGTTGTTGTTGTATTAAAACACTGACATATAGAACCAATTTGAGACAAAAAATGGGAGCTGTAAAATAAAAACTTTTCTTGATATTCGCTTAAATTCTTGGTGTAGTTCTTGTGGCTTAAGTGTATGAGCACCACTGTACATATATGTACGTTTGGAAACAATTATTTTTCTAGCATAATTTGAATTAATTTTAATTTATGAAAAATACATACATATGTATTAAATGTGTTTTCCATCAACAATTTTATTTATTTATTTGGACACTGCACAGTTATTTCTTTATGCAACTTATTATATCTCTTTTTTTCGATTTCTTGATTTCACATTTCAATCAATCACAATTTGTGACAAGATTTCCGAGAGTTTTGAGTTTTTCCTTTGGCTGAAGGCTCGTCAGGCTCGCGCACGTCCGGAGTTCAGCGTAGTCCGTTGAAGACTGAGTTGCCTTGCGGCAATTGAGGCAGCACTTCGCGTCTGCTGTTAGACACAGCGCGAGCTCTGTTAACCAACAGCTCTCGCCTTGTCCTGGTCGCTCTATCCCTCTCTTTCACTCCCGGTACGGCTGTCTCTCTCTCTCTCGGCTGGTGTGTCTGAGGTACGCAAACATCGGGAATTAATTTCATTCATAAATTCATGTACCTTACTTTGTCCCGCACCAAGATGAACTCGTCCGCCTGCCGTAAGTAATGTCATACTTGTCGCATGAGTAATATCCGGGCAGACGGGCAGCTGCTCACGGAGCGGAGCGCGGCCATAAATGGCAGTCGATCCAATTGAATGGAATGACACTGAATGGTCTGAATGGTTAGTTTTTGAGTTGCTAATTGAAATTGCAAATGGTCCGAGCCACTCGCACTTACATTTAATATTTATAGCTAGTGGCGCCGCCCCTGGAAAGTGTTTAACTGGCGTTTGACTTGACCTTTAGCGAATCGGAAGGGAAGGGACGGGGTGGTCTTGCAGCAATCAACGCTCCGCGAAATCTAAGCCATTCTGGCTACCACTGTCCGACAGCTCCCAAGCGCTCGTAAAGTCGGGGAGAAATGTGTTTGTTTTGCAGGACATGACCCATTGCCGGCTGCCCCTTCTCCTGCCCCCCTTTTTCTTCGCACTCAACTACTATTCATTGGAAGTAAGAAGAAAAAACCGCATATTAATGTCGATTCAGGCCTTGGCCTTCGTCCGCAGATTTGTGGATTTGTTTTCATTTTCCCTCGACTGCCTTCCAATTGAAATACGGGAAACGGCGTCAGAGCTGTAGCCATCTTGTGGCTGACTTTAAGAGGTTCAGCCGCCGACAAATTTTGAGTGTAATTCGGCATGGTTGTCTGCTCGCGGTAAATATGCACAATATCTGAAGCGTGACCACAATCCGGTCAGGGTCTGGAGCGAGCTTAAGAGGCTTAAGCCATTAAGGAAATGCCTCACATAGTGGTCGATTTGGGAATGGAAGGAATCTCGAGAAAATCCCGCTTACGCGAGTGCCCTTAAAAGTAATTTGAAAGCATCCGAATGGTGTTTCGACACAATGATGTGGTCTCACAAACAGATTCAGATTTTCCACACACTTTGATCTGCCATACAAACGATTAAGCGGGCGTTAAATTAATTCTGCACAAAAAATCTCGGCTCATAATCTGAATTTGGTGGTCGAGCTCTTGGGTTATTCATGAGCCCTTCAACTCGAGGGTGAATAATGAAAGCGTAATCGCCATCAATAATAGGGCTTCAATTTCTGACCTCTGCGCATTGCGTATACGCAACGATGCCGCCTCCGTGCCCGTGTCCGTGTCCCTGTTCGTGTCCGTGTTGTCTGTCAGTCGAGATAATTCAATTGGCCAGCAGATTGTGGCATCTGCTGATTAGCATAATGCCCTCCGACACACATGTGGACCGCCGACTGAGAGCAAATGATGGGGTCTAATCGAAAAGGGTCGACCACAGCTTTGATGGCCCAGCAGTTGGTCTAGGGTTGGCTCTAGGTCCTGTGCAGATTACCCCGATTTACGAGTGCAATGAGACAGCCACAGCCCCTGATTGCGTCTTTGGCCTGATGAACGATGGCTGCAAATGTAATTTAGAGCGGCTTCGAATGCGTCAAGTCATTTGAGCTACTGCTAATTAAGTGCAATTAAACTAAATGCGAGTGTCCTTGGCCTTTCAGTGGGCCTAGTCCGGTTCGGGGCGAGCGTTGAACCGGGTCAGGTCGAACGTGTCGCTTTACATAGTTTGCCTTTAGTGCGCTCCCACACACAGGAATGAAGTTTATTTCGACTTCATTACTCATACAACCCGTGGGCTGAAGTTTATGTTTGACGTTCGAAATTGGCCATCTCGAGTGGCTCTGAGGCTGCCCGGGAATGCCATTGCCGATGGAGGCCATTGCTGGGCTTTTAACCAAATGAAGCCCTGCCGGCCTCTGACTCTGACTCGGACTCGGACTCGGACCCGGACACGCACACCTTTTTTCGGTGAATTCAATTATTTGAAAGGCTGCGCACTACATCTGGGACTTCGGTGCCAATCGAAGGCTACAATTAGCCACGAGAACTGAAATTTTGTCAACGACTTGTTGAGCGCGTGCGAGAGTTCAATAAATTGGGGTCGGAACGCAGGAAAACCCCAAGCACCGCAACATCAATGCCCTAACAGGGGTTTGAGGATCTGCAGGACTGTAAAAAGTTCAATGCAGGACGGACCGTACCCGAAAGGCCCCTTCAAATGGCCCCATCAATATCGCTCGCTCTCTCCCTCCTAATGAGCGATTTTTAAGCTCAAATAACACGACAAAATAATGCCACTTTCTGTGCGACAGGGCTACATGGGTTGGTCGAACTGCAAATGACTTTCGGCTTGCCCTTTTCGGCTTGCAATAAAACTAAATGAATTGGAAACTTGCAGAGAATTCAACCAAACTGCTGACGAGGATGCCGCCGCCTGATGACAAGGTCCTGGGCTCCGATGGCAGAACTTCAAAATGCCCAACACAGTGCGACTCGACTCCACAGGCGCCTTGAATCTGATGTCATGCCTCGTGTTCGTAAAGAGCAAAGCAAACGAAATTCCTCAGTTCAACTGAAAGCAAGTGAAGACGCTCCCCCCGTTCCCAGGACTTCCTCTCGTGTCAATAATCGGGAGCCAAAGTTTCGACTGGGAATGCCTTTGCAGCACGTGCTCTGTGTTGGCTGTCGTACAAGAGCCCTAAGGGAGGGCAGGGAGATGGCAGTCAGATATCTGTGAGCACACAAAGTCAGCCCCCCGACCCCATCTCCATTTTGTTTGCTTAGGTCTTTGTTTTGATTGAGTGCCAAAAAAATTGTTTCTTATTATTTGCATAAAAATTGAGAAATTGAATTGCTGCAATGGATTTGATTGTTTGTTCGGCTATTTTTATACCCGATACTCAAAATGAGTATTGGGGTATATTAGATTTGTGGTAAAAGTGGATGTGTGTAACGTCCAGAAGGAATCGTTTCCGACCCTATAAAGTATATATATTCTTGATCAGCATCAATAGCCGAGTCGATTGAGCCCTGTCTGTCTGTCCGTCTGTCCGTCTGTCCGTCCCCTTCAGCGCCTAATGCTCAAAGACTATAAGAGCTAGAGCAACGATGTTTTGGATCCAGACTTCTGTGATATGTCACTGCTCCAAAAATATTTCAAAACTTTGCCCCGCCCACTTCCGCCCCCACAAAGGGCGAAAATCTGTGGCATCCACAATTTCGACGATACGAGAAAACTAAAAACGCAGAATCGTAGAAGATGACTATATCTTCTAGAGTGCAAAATCTGAACCAGATCGTATAATTATTACAGCCAGAATCACGAAAACAATTTCACTCTTTCTCGCTCTGTCTCACTCTAACACACAGGTTTCATGGTCGGTTTTGCCAATTGCAAAATATGAGTTCAAGGATCTCAGAACCTATAAAAGCCAGAGCAACCAAATTTGGTATCCACACTCCTGTGATATCGGACCTTGACCGTTTCCTGTCCAAATTTCGCCACACCCCCTTCCGCCGCCGCAAAGGACGAAAATCTGAGGCAACCACAAATCTCAGAGACTATTAAGGCTAGAGTAACCAAATTTGGTGCACACACTCCTTTAAGATGTCACTATAAAACGTATATCTCAAAATTTCGCCCCACCCCCTTCCGCCCCCACAAAGGACGAAAATCTGTTGCATCCACAATATTGCAGATTTGAGAAAACTAAAAACGCAGAATCATAGATAATTCCCATATCTATTAGATTGCTGAATCTGGATCAGATCAGATCATTTTTATAGCCAAAAGGAACAAATCAATTTGCAGTGGCTACGCAGCGCCCGACGTCACGCTCAGACTGATTTTCTGTCTTTCTCGCACGCACTCTTTGTCGTGTCGTTAAATATTAGCGGCGTCTGCCGGAGGAGAGCCATACTGACTTAGTATCGGGTATAACCGTAGAGTTGCGGTGTCCGCAGCAACTCACAACGTTCCCCCTCGTTCTTTTTCGGATCGAAAAAAAATAGATACAAATACATTTCTATGCTGCACCACTAGCCGGAGGATGGCCATTGAAGGAAAACACGACTTTTATGGGCCGCAAAGCTCTGATAGATTTTCCCGCACATGGCCATAAAAGTAAGCCCCCGGGGTCTAATAAAACCTCCCTTTGACTGATCATAAAACGAAAGAGAGCCATGCCTAGGCCATCCGATTTTGACGGTTGTAATCTGGCATCGACAGAGGGGATTCTGAAATTAATTCTTTTCACGTAGGTGTCACTAGCGCTGGCCATTTCACCTTTACGATTTGGATTGGTGAATGGGTGGCGTCGAAGGTCGCCATTTGCATTGTCCTTTGGGTCTGTTAACATAATAATCAAACAATTTGCCGCCTCGGCCAAATTAATATGCCACTAAATAAGATAAAGTGCATGGTACTCCGATACTATTTGCATTTTTATTACCCTTGCCCTCGGCCTCGGCCTGGTCCGTAGACCGCCGTTTAGGGCCCCTCCTCCTACGCAGAGAGAGCGCCGTCGCAGAAAGCCGAAAAGCAACCGGTAGTTCTTCTCTGCAGCGTCGGCAGAGGCAGTGGCAGCGACTGTGACCGCGGCAGCGGCATCTCTGTTGCGTCGCTGTTATCGTCTTGGCCCGAACAGTCCGTGCCGGCCAATATTTTGGCCAAATTCAGTCTCTCGGATGCTGCGGCCAGTTTCTGTCGCTGTCACGATTGCGGAACGAAGCTCAGGGGAAAGAACCGGACGAATTGCGGCGTACTGGTACGCGCGTGTTTTCCGTCATTAATTGTGCCTCCAAGAATCGTTGTACGTTCATATGATCTTGTAGTCGGCCAATATAATTGCGAGTGTGTGCTAACCAACCCCCACAGCGCACGGTCATTAATCAACACTTAGCACATGGTAAAACCGTATTAGCAATAATGCATTAGAATAAAAAGAGACAAAAGGAGGCGGAGAGAGAGACAGCAGGTTGAGTGCAATGGACGAGCAAGACAGCAAAAAGATGAACAAAAAGTGACAAAAATCAAAAAGTTCAAAATAATAAAAAATAAATGCATTCGCAAAAATGTGGCAGGCATCGTTTGATAAATTTAAATTAAACGTGTTTTAAATGCACAAACGATAGCCAGCCCAGCAGAGCGAAAAAAACGTATAATTTATTGTCATTAGGCGGAGTGCAAAACGCAGTGTGTCAGAGTTGCAATATCGAATCCGAGGAATCTGTTAATTGCCAAGATCATCTCTGCAGAGTCGGAGATTCGTTGACCCGCGCCCCGTAATGATCCGTATGTTGCAATGGCGTAATGGTAGTGTGTGTGTCTCAGTCTCTCAGTCGCTCTGTGAGTCTTAATCAGACGAGTGACATGGAATATGCAAATCTATGCGAACATACAAACACTTAATGGGTAGGGGCAGTGCATAATTTTGGTGAGATGCTACACAGTCGACGGACGGGCGTTGGACACCGCAGCAAAAACAAAAAAAACAAAAAACAAAAAACAGAAAACGAAAACCAGTTTGATTGAATATACAAAATAATAAAACCAAATTCGACAGCATTCTTGAACCGTGCATATTTTGTAGCAACCCAAGCTCTATACTCGTATGATAATGATAATAAACCCTGCCAAAAACGGTCAACAGCGGTCACCATCAACGGCCCGAGATACTCATCATGAATGGAGTACAACTATGTGAATGTTTTAGTCGCCCATTAGGAGTGCTCCAGCAGCTCCACCCAGCTCACAGTCGCTCCACTGGGATGACCTTGAGAGCAGAGCAGTTTAATTTGTTTGCTGCGTAAGGTCTTGGGATCCCTGGAGAAATATCCTCGAATTCATCTTGAGTACACCTAAATTGTGTACAAATATTTTGACTAAATGCCACTTAGAAATTCAAATTAATTTTCAGCCACCACCTGGCCTGGGCTGTGTCTTTTCCTAGGAGTCACCTGACTGCCCATCTGCCCATCTGCCCATGCCACAGGATGCCAGGTAAACAAAGACACACACAGACACTCACACGCCCTCTCAAGCTAATCCCGCACCCATGACAACAGGTTGTCACTGGCTCTGGCCTAAGACGAATTTGATGAGCCCCAGTTCGGGGCATTATGAAAACATTGTTTGCGAGAAACCTTCAATCGAAAAGACATAAGCAGAAAAACCGTCTGAAAAAAAGACAAAGCGCAAACTTCCATCAATTCGAAATTAAAACGATACAAAAGGAAAAACAAACACTCGTCCAGATCCATGGCAGTCAAAATGCTGCCCGTAAACACATCCAGCTTCAGCCCCCTGGCAGCCGACTTTCAGATGTTTCAAAACGAGAAGTTCCTCTTTAATCTGACTCAAGAGCTGAACATTTCGGCGGATAACCTGACAAGCCTACTGCAGGGCCTGGGAACACAGGAAGCGCTACCCCCAATGTCCCTCCTGGCCGCTCTGAGTGTGGGCTATGGCCTCATCTTCGTCGCCGGGGTGCTGGGCAATCTCATAACCTGCATAGTGATCTCTCGCAACAACTTCATGCACACGGCCACGAACTTTTACCTGTTCAACCTGGCCGTATCCGACATGATCCTTCTGTGCTCAGGTGGGTGTGCGTCCACACAGTCACGTACCATATAGCTGGCTGCAACTGATTTAGTTTGTTTGTCTCACAGGCATGCCCCAGGATCTGTACAATCTCTGGCACCCTGACAGCTATCCATTCAGCGATACTATCTGCATCCTAGAGAGCGTTTTCTCGGAAACGGCGGCTAATGCCACGGTCCTTACCATAACCGCCTTCACCGTGGAGCGCTACATTGCCATTTGTCATCCGTTCAGGTGAGCTTTATTAACCCACTCCGTTCCGTCCCACTATCCCTCCCCCGCTTAATTGCTTCTGAATTCACCCACACAGGCAGCACACAATGTCCAAGCTGTCGCGCGCCGTTAAGTTCATATTTGCCATCTGGATTGCCGCCCTCTTGCTGGCCCTCCCACAGGCCATCCAGTTCTCGGTGGTGGTGCAGGGCGTTGGATCGTCGTGCACGGTATGATTGATGGCGCTTTATACGCCCAAACATATCTGTGGAAACTCTTTAATCGTTGTCGGTAGTACCGATTATACGTCAGGATTTCAGGAAAATATTTGTGCCATTCGATGGCTCAATGAAGGGTCGGAAAGTATTACGCAAGCAATTTGAAAATATATCTTAGACCCGTAGTAGCGAAGACTTGTAGTAGTAGTAGACTAGTCCGATTAAAGATGGAACCATTGGTGAAGCAATTAAATATGTAACTGGAACTGTTCCAAGCTTATTAGATTAAAAATACCACAGACTATTCATAGAGCGGCATAAAGTTCTCTAAAAATAAATAAATCCGACGGACTAATAATAAATATTAAAATATGACTATAAGCTGTATTCTAAATCAAGATACTAAGCTAGAAAAAGTTAGATAGCCTGAATAAAAAGTGCAAAGAACAAAAGACAAAGACAAAAAATTAAAATTAGTTATGCACACTTTGTAAAATATGGGTAAGACTTATATCGTTTTTTTTCCTGTATTTTAAACCATTTTAAAGAAATAGCTTCTTGTGGGTTGAGTCAATTAGCAGCAATCAAATTGATAGTCTACGCTTCCGAATGCCAAGAGCCCTCCGGCTCTGGCTGTAACATTATATTTCCATATCGTTTTGCCATGATATATGTATATATTTTATATTTTTTTACACTCCTGCGACAGATGAAAAACGACTTCTTTGCCCATGTGTTTGCTGTGTCGGGCTTCCTCTTCTTTGGCGGTCCCATGACAGCCATCTGTGTGCTGTACGTCCTCATCGGGGTGAAGCTGAAGAGGAGCCGTCTGCTGCAGGCACTACCACGACGGTGCTTCGACGTTAACCGTGGCATAAGCGCCCAGACGCGAGTCATCCGGATGCTGGGTAAGCTGGGGAGATCTGCCGATGGCATCTTTGTGGGAGCCGGGATAATGTATGGTTTTCTACTTCCGTTCTGCTCTTCTCTTTGCTTCGACAGTGGCTGTAGCGGTGGCCTTTTTCATCTGCTGGGCTCCCTTTCATGCACAGAGATTGATGGCGGTTTATGGCTCCTCCTCGGGCATAGAGTCCCAGTGGTTCAACGATGTGTTCAGCGTTCTCGACTACACCTCCGGCGTGCTCTACTTCCTCTCCACCTGCATCAACCCGCTACTGTACAACATCATGAGCCACAAGTTCCGCGAGGCCTTCAAGGTGAGATTCTGCTGGTGCCACTTAATTGCTTCCCCTGAGTGACTGAAGCCACCTCCCGCAGGTAACCTTGGCGCGCCACTTTGGACTCTCGGGCAAGAACCCCGGCCGGGGACTGCCCCACACCTACAGCGCGCTGAGGCGCAATCAGACGGGATCTCTACGGCTGCACACAACGGTGAATATTAATGCAGCTGCCATTGGAATTTCTGTTGCAGTGTTCTGCTCTCCATCTCCCTCTCCCCCTGCAGGATAGCGTTCGCACAACGATGACATCTACGACGACAACTACGACGACCGTGCTAAATGGCAGCAGCAATGGGGCAGCGGGCAATCTGGGGCGCTCCTCTCAACGCCTGAATCGCGTCTCCTTGGACAGCTCGCAGAGTCAGATTCCGGGTCAGAGTCAGATTCAGAGCCAGGCACAGAATCGCAGCAGGCAGGATCTGTTTGAACAGCAGTCCCATCCGCATCCGCACTCGCACCCACGTCGCCCTCTGCAATCGCAAATATCGCAGTTGTCATCGGTGGGCGATGCCCACTCACTGCTGGAGGCGGACATACAGTGGCCGGAGGAGCAGGCACCACCGACACAAATGCAATTGCAGCTGCAAGCACCCATGTGCTCCATTGATGAGCTGAGCTGTCAGTCGGGGACAGACGATGTGGGAGTCTCTCGCTCCCGCCTGAAACTGACGCGTATAACGCGGGGAGGCCATCAGCTCTCGCAGCCAGGGGGCGTAGATATTGGCGGTGTGGCAAACGAGACAAATGGCAAAGTGCGCAAGCCAAAAGCGAAAGCGCTCAAGAGCTCCAGTGCCCTCAAGAGTCTCAGGGCCAAATTGAATTGGCGTGCCAGACGCAAAGGCAGCCACAAGCCACAGACCAGGACGAGCTCAGGCGAGGTCTCGAGTGAGCGAGCCGGCTACTGAGGAGCCGCTTATCGGGCTCGGTCCGGGCGGCAGACACACTACTGTGATATGAGCAGCAAGTCCTCTCCAGCTTGCTTTTGTTTCTAGACAAATATTCCAAGTTCGGTCAATTAGTTGTCCATAGTCATAATTTACGAACATAGCTGTAGATAGATCAATGCATGGTCAGACCTTTCCCAGTCCCAATAAACTGGTCTGTTCTATTTCTTCAACTGTCTTTGGCTGTGTCACTGGGATGTGGGATATGATTGGGATATTATAAAAAAACGGGTTCAACGCACGTCTGACTAATGAATGCTACTCGGAGCCGGGCGCGTGCTGCACTTAAAACAGAGAGCATCTCCCTCCGCATCATAATCCCGAGCAATTAAGATGTCTATCAAGCGCACAAATAAGCTCCTCGCTCCGGATTCTGGAGTCTAGACACCCAAAATGAGACCAGCGAACGGCGGACAGCATTCGTTCGAAGCTGCTGAGTGCATGTCCACGCACGGGGTGAGTACGGGTAGGAGTATGTGGTTGAATGGGTGAGTGGCTGACTAATTAGCATAGCGTCGCATCTAGTTTTAATTCCACAAAATGCAATTAATTAGCCCCAGGCAACTAAATGTTGTGGGTGCCCCAGAAATAAATGGCTCTTAATTCATAAACTGCAGCATATGCGGGCCAGATGTGACAACCATGAATAACTGTTGCCACAGAAAGCTAACGTAATTCAAACTAATTTCTGGGAATTAATGTGCACTTTCCAGCTGCACTCTGTGGTCTACAACTGGTCACCACAATATTTTGCAGCATATTTCTCGAGTCATGCAAACTGTGCTTTTTATTCCTGCCTCAGATCTTACGAAACTTTAACAGAAGCATTCCCCAAAACCTCGGCCATGTCATGAACTTAACTTAAAGTGCATTAAAGTCGCATTTGCCCCACAGAAATTTACTGGCAAAATAACTTATTGTCTTCAGATTTTAGTGAATAATTTAAATACTCTCAACCCATTAAAGGCAAATGTGTTGTGAGAGTTGTGAAACTAAACAAAACTACGCCGAACTGGTGAAAGATTTCGCAATGATTGTTTTTGCCAAGTAAAGAGGAAAGATGGATCTAAAAGGAACATTTTTAAACAGAATAAACAGAATCGCAATCGTTTTATACAGTTCCGGGTGTCCATTATGCAAAATAAGTCCAATGAGAATTGGTACACTTCGTGTGGAGTAACGACATGATGAAAAAAAGTAATATAGGGTGAAAAGTAAACAAAATAAAAAACAAATGGATTGGAAAAATATTCTGTTCAATGTGTCCGAACAGTAGACATGCAAAACAGCCACTAGAAATATGTAGAACTTCTCAGGTATTCGCACAGAAAAAAGTTTCCTTTTGGTCTCTATAAACTACCATCTGAATCTGCATTGATTTGGATTTGAACAAGTACTAAACTAAGAATTTTAGTTCTGGAAGCAGCTATAATAATATATTTAGGTATTAAACAGATGATTTTCCATCACTATTCGACGAGATATGGATTTTTTGTTGAGGTTTTTTCCTCCCCTGGTAACTTATAATTTGTCCTAAAGTGTGTTGGAAAACTCTATTGTTTATGATTTAGTTTTCTAACTTCTCCCGTCTGAATGGCATGTAGTGGTAAAGCACACTTTGAAAGTTATTCCTCAACATTTAATAACAACTTTGAAGCGAGGTTTTCCTTACTCACAGACAACAGATTAGTTTGTGGTACTGTTATGTCATACTCAAACTTTTACCCTTCCCGGAGCCAACTGTTTTTATAGCAAATTAGTCTTAGTTTATGAAAACAATTCAGGTGACTTAACAACGCTGGAACTTCAGCAAAAGTATTTAATGCTAGTTAAGGCTGTGTGCTTATGTTTCTGTTTAGACAATATTGTTAAGTTCTGAATGCCATATACTCGTACAAGATGCTAATCGGCAACACACGCCCATACGTTCTCCTTTTTATAGCCGTCAACAATAACGGGTCTGAGTCTGGGTCTGGGTCGGGGCCTCGGGCTAGACCTTTTCCCACCAATTGGTGGATGGGCATCATTTGTGCGACATAAAAGTCAAAGGCTGTCAAATAGTTTCGATGAACTTCATCATTTTTATGGCCTTGCCAAAAACAACCATATACCAACACGCAGACAGAGAAAAAGATACAGATAGATACCCGATTCTTGGCAACCACGCAATAAATTTGAGTGCGTTTCATTTGTGCAAATTTACTATCACTTGTCTCGATGGCCCCACAGCACCACGACTGGCAGGCAGACTGAAAGCAATTGAGGCATTCAATTTACGCGCCGGCCTAAAAGCCGTTCCCTCTTATTTTAAACCCACTAATACGTCTTTGTTCATATCACGAACTCCCACACAGCCCCAGAGACCGTCATAACGCATAAATATGAAATAAATAAGCAATTCTCTCCAGGACGATGGCAGGACGATGGCAGCCGAATAAGCCCGTGACTATGCCATAAACTCTCAATTTCATTTATATGTATGAGCCATGTTTGCAATTCAAATGGACGATGTGCGGCGATATTCACTATATTCAGAATATACACCCAAAAACCCAAACACCCATACACATATGGCCGCTATGAGGTGGGCGTGGTGCATCGTGAGGCCGCGGCAATTAAGCCGTAAAATATCGTTGCCTACTTTTCGCGGCCAGCGATCCATGTGGCCCGGGCCTTGGTCGCAATCGATGGGAAAATTAAACAGAATTTACGAGTATAGTAGCTGAAAAAAATAACCGAGCCACTTAATGGGCAGTGATTGCTTTGCATAACCCTCTACCAATTAAGACCCCGTTTGCCTGGCCGACAAGCTGCAATTAGAGTGTCCTTGGGAATTTGCTCCGATATCTCTTAAACAAGTCACAGCATGTGGCAATACCTAAAAGAACACATGCCTTCACACGTACGATTATTCGGGATGCCGAACATGTCGGGCAGTGCGTTTGGCATGCCACTTTATGTGATGGTCCATCCCGTAGCTTGATGTCTGGGCTGCTCCAGCTCCGCCTGGCACGTACGGGTGGATACTGCCATTCGAGATTTATGCTAAGGCGAGGCATGCGGCTACGATTTGATATGCTTGACTTTTTGGCTCGGGTGCATCTACTTGATATTTACTCGATACAGTGCCTGGCCCCCTCTCTTTACTTGCTACACTCGTGGGCGGTGTCCTGGCAATGGGAAGTGGCATTGTTGGCAGCATTTCGCACGTAGTTACTGCTCGTGGGTGTGTGCTCATAAAAGAGGAATTTGATCGGGTTTGACAGGGAAAATCGAGTACAATGCGGTTAGATTGCCAAAGAACCAACTAAACGAAATTCAATTGCCGACTCGTGCTATCCAAGGCGATGGATGCACAGAAAAAAATATTAATTTATTTACCATTCAACTATAAACCATAACACTTATGACAATTTTCTTAGTGGCTAATCCTACTCTTGTACGATTCTTTGATTGAATTTTCTCTTCGAAGATTTTTTCCACAGTGTAGCAGAATATACATATGTCTGTATCTGTATGTGCTCCTTCCGGTGAAACTAACGAGGGATTAGGCGTAGCTTACAAACCAATTCATTAGAACTATCTACATATTCATTGGGGCTTTTTGCATATCGTCTGTTCGAAGTTCGGACACATTCAATAGAATGTTTTTACTGACTTTTCGATCCATTGCCTCAAGACCTAGACCGCAATGGTTTTGGAACCAACGCAACCAAGACAACGACAAGCCTACAGTCCCTCTCCTTACGTACGTATCCAAGAATATTCTGAAAAATATTCTGAATTTAGTATGCAATTTGGTCAAATTTGTAACGGCCCACTGGGCATATATTTGCTCGTAACTGGCCCACGAAAATACCTGTACGTATATGTATGTCCTGTATGTGCATAGATGTTAAGTCAGCTTTGAATTTGGCATGTTCTTGCAGCGTATAAAGTTTTCCATTTGTATTTTAAAACAGCCACAAAAGATTCTGGGAGCATGCGGAATTTCTGAAAAGTATTTTTACTAATAGAGATTTGCATGGGAAAAGCCTGAATACACACAAATCGCACTGGCCAGCATTCCCAAGCACCGCCTGATTTGAGTTTTCATATGTATAAGGTACATATATATTTATATATCATCCTCAACAGAAAAGGTGGAATTTATATGGATTAGCCATTGTGCACTCTATAGAAATATAAAATTTATTACTTCTGAATTTATTTTATTATTTATTATTTTTCTTTCCTTGCAAATTGAGATCCACAAAAAGAAATACACAATAAATAACTGCTTTAGAAGGCTATAAAAACTAGTTCTCTAATACAAGTCGTGCGAATACTTTTTTATTAATATTTAGTATTGAAAAAAAGTATATACAAAACGAATCGTGGGTGGGGCAAATCGATTTAAGCAAAAAACCAAAGAAAAAACAAGTCAGCTCATCAAATGGCACGTGTCATTGAATATTTGCACACAAAAATGTATACATGTATTTGTGTTTTATGCGATTTTAAAATATTCAATCAAGTTGTTCAGACACATACGTTCGACTTGTGGCAACAGTGACTCCGACGAAGAGCTTAAAATGATATTCAGGTAATATCATATGACAGGCGGCGATGTTATGATTCATTGAACACACGCGTATACAAGAATCACAAAGCATTAAACTGTCACTCACTGCACTAAATGTGGAATACGGAAGCATTTGTTTTAGTTTAGTTTGGTATGGCTCCAATTGGCAAAGACAGCAATTGGAAATGGCAATAACCCAACATCGACCAGTCATGCATATTAACCGTTGGCTGTGAAACTACCTTTTGAATCAGTTTCGGAAAGAGAAATCGGATTTCTGAAGAAGGCGGAGAAAAAGATTCCGAGTCTCTGAGTGCAAAAAATTCTTTTGAAATCAAAATTGCTAATTAATACAAACTTTGGAGCATTCAACTTGAGACTGTGTATCCAATGGGAAACCGATGCGAATGCTGATCCATCGGCTTGGCGTGGGCGTGACGTGAGCTATAAATGCAGGGCGGATACGTCTTCCCGTAATTTTCGC